GACTCACCTTGAAATTACCTTATTGTATTAGAGATGGCGATTATTTCCTCATCATCCATACATTTTTAGAAAAAGAGAATCTATTCTTGGATTAGGGTAGGATTAGGTCAGATTCTCTGTCTAAGGAATTGATATGGGGTTGGAAAGAGAGAGTGAATTAGTTGGCTGTGGATGTTGGATGAGTAAGGTCTTACGGGCTCAAGAGTTGATGTGGTCATACGTGTAAGCCAAGAGAGCTGATCTGTAAGGAAAGGTAGTAAAATGGGCAAATTGCAGGGAAAAGCATGTGTAAGTGATGTGCAAAAAATAGGGAATGAGTGGTGAGCTGTCTTGGTTCTCGTTGGCTTGTCAATTCCTATTGGAGTCCCTCTTGAGGCTGCAATTGCTTTTTAGACACTTTTAACTCTTTATGCTAATACCTTCTTTATTTAACTTGAGCAACTGAGTTTCTGTTCCTTGTTATCAAATGACACCTCATTAAGAGTCATCATGTACTAGATAAAATGATTGTGCATATGTCCATCTTCCCCACCAGACACTGTTTTATTTATTTTGAGATTTCCAACAATTAGTCTCACTCTGGTAGACTGACAATATATGTTTGAATGAATGAAAACTAACCTCATTTATTCAATGCCTTTTCCAACAAAGAGCTTATGAAATTACAAAGTTGGTGTTGCTATCATAGTCGATGATAAAATGTTAGTTCTTCCAGTAAATATTTGTATTTTAATAAGGGCCTTCTGAAATCAATCATTTGAGGTACAGGAAAAGCCATAAAACTGAGAATTTATTAGTATTGGATTTCATGGGAGGTATTTTTGGAGCCTTTCAATGTCTCTAAAATTGTAACATACCTTTGTTCGGGGCCAGCTGCAGGAGGAACTGTCTTAGGGACAGAAGGACTCCTTCCCTGCAGGGACTTCATAAGTGGGACAGGACTGGGACCTCACTGCCCAGAACTGCATTTGCTTCCTTCCAAATGGTTTTATATAAGCACAGATCATCCAGGAAAAGCAGAAATAGTCTTAGTGAAACCAGTCAAAACACCAGGTTAGGGCTTCCCTGGTGGCGCAGTGGTTGAGAGTCCGCCTGCCCATGCGGGGGACACGGGTTCGTGCCCCGGTCCGGGAAGATCCCACATGCTGCGGAGCGGCTGGGCCCGTGAGCCGTGGCTGCTGGGCCTGCGCGTCCGGAGCCTGTGCTCCGCAACGGGAGAGGCCACAACAGTGAGAGGCCCGCGTACTGCAAAAACAAAACAAAACAAAACAAAACAAAAAACCACCAGGTTACTTGAGGTAATATCATGATTGGGAAGTTCATTTTGTGAATAAGTATGTTGCTTTTTAGATATTGTTGTCTCTAATAATACATTCTACACTTTCTGTGTTGGTGTTACTGATCAAATGGCACTTCACGGATGTCAAATAAACCTTCTTTTCTATGGCATGCATTAAAGAGGATGTTTTCATATTATATCTGAGACGTCTTTACAGGAAAATCAAGTGGAACGGATCATTGAAATTAGCCTGAGATGAATGTTTCCCTTCCTCAAATTTAATCTTCCAAGAGTTTTAGGTCATATAATTCTTGATCTCCCCTTTTAATCGTGAGAGGTACATTTTCACCCTCCTTTCTTCCCTCTTTACAGTATTATATTATTAAGCTCCCCCCTTTTTTGGTTGGTTAAACCAGGGACATGAAACTGTCATTTCTCAAGCTGCCATCCTCTTTAACTGGCATTTCTTTTGGGGCAGATATCTTTGAGAACATCAGCCTTAACCAGGACCAAAGGCCTGTTTAACACAAGGGTTCTTTTAGACAAATCTTTTAAACAGGGAATGCATCCTTCTTTATACTATTTCTGGTAAATGGGCTGGCACCAAAGGCTAGCTTTATTTTGAGGACTTAGTAAATAAATTCTACTTGTGGTTTAAGGTGGTGTTCCTTTTAACGTTAAATATAATTATAATAAGGTAGAGGTGCAGCGTGGGCATGCTGTTGGATAAATACTTTAAAATGTTAGTAATGTGCTAAATGAAGATGTTATTACTTCTCGGGTTTGATATTGTCATTCTGTAGTTATCATGCAATGACATAGGACTCTTCCAAATCTATTTTTCTTCCCCATATTTAAGAAGTTCAGTTAATATTTGTTTAGGAGTGATTGCTCACGAGGCTAGGTTTGGAGACTGGTCAGCTTTTTGGGGAACCTTAATTTAATGGTTGAGTTTAAGGAAAGGGGAGAAGCTCTTTATTCTTGCCCACTCCCCACACTGCCTCACATCTAGTGGAGAGAAGAGGGAGTGAAAGCATGTAGGGAAGAAGAGAGGAAGAACCGAAAGAGAATGAGGGCCCAGTTCCAGAGAGATTGTCATGCGTTTGAACAAGTGAAATAAAAGTAGCTCTCCACATGTAAGTTCAAACTGTTCATTTAAAAATAAAAAAGCCATCAAATTGTGTCATCTTGACCAAAGCTAGTAGCTCTTTATAATATTTTAGACTTTATTTACAGAACATTCAAATATTTCTTTCCATTTATAACCAATATATTTTAACAAAACTCCTCATGTTTTATGTGACCTCAAAAGCCATCTAATTTATTTTCCTAATTGTACAGGAGAACTGCTGAATAATCCATATTATAATTAGAGTGATTACGTACTTTATTGTCTAAATCTGGACACTGAGAGTAAAAGAGGTTGCTATTCATAATCCCCCAGGGCGACAGGTATAAACTGGGAAACTAGGATTTATGAGCACCTTGATTATAAAAAATAGAGACTAAGATTACCAGGTGGTTGAGTCATTAAAATTAGTTTTAACTGCCTTTTTAGTGTTCTGCCATTATGACTGAGGGAAAAAGTTAAATAGGCCATTCTAAAAATAGCTAACATTTTTTGATCATTTATTATGTATTTAGAATTATTCTGAGCATTTTATTTATAAAAATATGATGAATCCTCACAGTAACTCCATGAGGTTGCTACTCTCTTCCCTATTTTATAGAAGAGGAAACTAAGATCTGGAGAATTACTTGTCCAAAGTCAAAAAACTAGTAACCAAGAGAGCTGGGATTCAAACCCAAGTATTTTAGCTCCGGAGTCCATGTCTCAGTCATCACCTTATTCTGCCTCTCATACATCCAGCATCCATGGTTGTGGAGGCAGGTCTTGAACAAGCATTTTGTAAATATAATCTAAAATTGCAAGATGTTATTTAGCTTTTTTAAGATAATAAACTTTTTTTTCTTTTAGATTTTATCACTGTACTTGACCATTTTGCAAAAATATAATTTTTCCATCTTGCTATTAAAATAAAAAAGAACCCTCCAGTTTTAAATTAGAAGGGAGATCAGAGGTTATCTAATTCAATCCCCTTCTTTATAGGGTGAGCAATCAAGGATCAGCCTCTTTCATGTCTTGTGTAAGTTCCTTGGGAACACAAACAGAACTGAAACCCAGGTTTCCTGTCCCTCAAACTGCAGCCCTTTTAATAGTTTTGTATTCACTTAAAATAAGAAAAACTAAATAACATATATCGAATACAGAATGTTCCCTATAAAACTAGCGCTGAAAGATAAAAGCAGAAATATAATTCAGGAAGATGTATTTTTTTCTCTAACAAAATAACACATTCCTGTTATGCACACAAAGTACCAGCCAAAATCAGCAAACTGCATAAATAATTCTAAATTCTAATCTTGCTTCTGTCACTGTCTTTGTGCAGTATTTGGTAGGTCAGTTCACCTCAATGACAGTTACCCCATGGTTATAATAGGAAAAATAATGTCTTTACTTTCTGAGGCAGGGAAAAGGCTGCCCTTTTTTTTTTTTTTTTTTTTAATGCATTAACAGTTGGAAGGGACTTGCAAATTCCATGTTACGAGCATGCTACCACGTTTTGATAAGAAGCAAATTATCTAAAGTACTAACAATAATGGTTAAACAAGGCAGAAAATCTTTAAACATTGTAGTCTCTGTTTATGCCTTTGATTTCAATTCTGTTCTTCTGGATAGACAGAATTAAATAAATTTTCTGTATATATGTTTTTCTGTCTTGACCAAATTCTTGTTAGAAATAAATTGTGTTGTAAAACTACAATAAACTTTCCTGAATTTAGTAGGCGAAGCTAAATTATTCAAGCAGTTTCTCCCTGAATCTCCTTAGCTCAGTGGACTATTGCCATTGGTCACATTAACTGGGTAATTACTACATTTCCATTACTTTCTGTTATTACAGCTGAACCAAAAGTAAGAGAGCATGTACACTGAGGGTAAACTGTGAAAAAATAGCACTGTATTTAACTTTTTCTGTGTACATACATTTATATTTTTTAGAGGTTAGGGGCAGACTTTCATTTAAGGTTAGAGAAGTAAAAATGAAGAACCAAAATAATCTATTTTGGACTAACAGAGTTTTTAAATTAAATGCTTAAATTATAGTATTAGAATAGGTATAACCCCAATCTGTATTTCAACTTCAGCAGATGCAAGACTTAATTATAGATATCATTTAAAATATTTGATGTTTTTTTTTTCATAGGAACTGACACTTAAATCTATTTGACAAGGTCTGTTTGCTGTACCTCGTTTGCATTATCTATCGTACAGAATAAACAAAATGCGTATTTTTCTTGTTATTTATTAAAGACATATCCATTTTAATCTTGAAGGCCTAGGTTCAAGTCAAAGAAGTATTTATTGAATAGAAATAAATATTCCTGGCAGTTAGTAAGTTGACACTTCTTTTATGGTTCTGATTATATTTTTATTTCAACCATTAGAGGGCACATTAGTTCAAGAAAAATTAAACAAAAAGCACAGCAACAAGAAGAAAATAGGCTTAGAAGTAGTAGGCAGAGAAAATTTATGTGTTTATGCTTATTTTCACTCATTTTATTGTCATTTGCAACATAATTTATTAGTTTTTTAAATCTGAAAAGAATTTAAATGCATATAGTTTCACATAAGAAATAACTCTTCACTTTTTATTGCTAGCTACTACTCCTAGAAGAATGACGTTGGCCTAGTTGAATTTGACGAGGTTGACTGTTATGTGACCAAGAAGGACATAATAAATCATGACATTTGAAGAACATCCTGAGTTCAAAGGTATGTACGATTAGGTTATTATGAAGTAAGTAAATGCTAGTCCCTGGTCTCGTAGTTATTAAAAAAAGAAAGACACCTAAGTGTGAATGAATGCAGCTTAACCGGCAAGTATTTATAACCTTTACAATTTGGTACAAATTACAGAGAGAACAATGGATGACCCCAGAGTGAACACAGGGCTTTATTTCACTAGAAAGCCTTGACTGGGGTCATAAACTGCAAGAGGGCAGGCCCCTCAAGTGGCTTATGAATGACTTCGGAGTCTCAGAATGAGTTCATTTGTTTTCAGTCTACAGCAAACTGTTATTATTTCTAATGTTCGGTCTTTTGCTCTAAGGCTGCAGGTTTTTAATCTATAGAGGCTGAAATAGATACTAGCTAGTATTTAACAATAATGCTTATATTATGTTAAGTGAAATGAATGCTTTACATGATTAATTCATTAATTTAGTTAGTAAAATTAATTGAGCACCTACTAACTTTCATGTCCTGGCCTGTGTTCTAGGGAATAAAGACAGCTTAATACATTGTCCCGGACTTGAAAATATACTTTTTTTTATTGCCCTGTAGCAATAAAAAACTGTAGCATATGATAACTTTATATATTAGTGGGGAAATAGGAAAGATTTATCAAACCTATTATAAAAATATTTTACATTGTATTTTTAAGGGAACAGAGGGGTTAGGCAAAATCTAGTATATACTATCTTCAATTTAAGACTGCAGAACTTCTCTGATAATATTTTTTTCTGAGAGTCAGTTATACAATAAATTGTAGTAATTAGTAGCATAAAACAAGGTAATAATGTAATTAAAACCAAAATATTTACTTTCTATAGAAGATACTTCTATGCATCTTAATTCTGCGCCTTGCAAGCTAATAATATTCTATAGGAATTTCTGTGTGGCTTTTACATCTGGTGGTTGTGGAATTAGCATGTACAAAGAGAGCTCAGAATTATGCTTTAATTATGATTTGAATGATGATTTGAGTCTGAGCATGAGTTGTCAACAGAATTGTGAGCTGGGGGAAAAAGAGATAAGGACTGTTAGTGGGATAAAAAGTATATTTGCAGTCACTTACTTTAAAGTGCCTTTTGTTTTAAAAGAAATAATTAATGTTAGGAATTAATTGGTTTAGATTCTTGATTTGAAAGTTATCTCTTGGTTGCTAAGATGAAGCCTTTTCAAAATTACTACACGATATGCAATGACAGGAACATTTCGTTTGAAAGGTAGAAAACATAATTGAAAAACTAGCTTTTGAGTGCCTGCTTATCACCCTAATTGATAGCAGATGAACCTGAGGAACTAAATGTTGTCGTTCAATAAAAAAAAGTATTTAGCTGGATTTCACATTATGTTGCATAGTTTCCTCTAAAAGCTAAACATTATTGCTAATGTTTTGATACAATACTAGGCTTTAAGTGGAGCCTGGTATGCATTAATTATCATAAAGCAATCACGAAGTCAAAATTATATGGAAAAAAATAGATCCAGGTATAGCATCTAAAAATCTTTTAAAGTTTGGGTAACCAAATTAGGGCATTCATAAAATTCATAAAAACCATCCATAAAGAATGATGTTTTAGATGTATGTTTACTGGTATAGAAAACACAGTACAAAACAGGCTATATAGTATGAGACCCACTACTGTAAAAAAAAAAAAAAAAACAAGATATATAAGAATGGAAAAATCAGAAAGGATATATGCCGAATGTTAACAGTGGTCATTTCAGGCACTGGGGTTATGGAAGATTTTCATTTTTGTTAGGCATATCATTAGAATATGTTACTATTCCAGTCTACCTAATGTTTAGCAGGAAAACCTTCATATGACTTTAGAATACAACTGTGTACTCTTGCAGATATTTAGTTGGTCCTAACATATATTTACAATTCCTATTTATTCATTTATCCTGTTCTTGTATTTACATATTTTACAAGTATTAAAACTTTAACTAACATTCAGAAAGAATGAAAGGCAAGGAAATAGATCCACATTTTACCACATTTTGAGTCTGCACATGAGGAGGATGATAGACCTATAGGTAGTGGTTGGTCAAACCAATCACTCAGGACAGAAAGTGTGACTTTCCTTTAAAGAAAGATGATGGGTCAGCTAACATGCTGGCTGCCTATTTCTATAAGGCTGTATCCCTTTGAGTGAGGAGGAAACATGGTCCAATTGTTCTGCTCAAGGAGAATTTATTTTCTGATTTCTATTTAAAAGAAGAGTAGCTTTTGGCAGGTGTATTTTCAGGGGCACTGTTCACATTAGTGTGAACAGTCGGATCACTCATACAAAACTCAAATGAGACGGGTGGATTTGCGTGGAGGTTAAGCAGGAATTTCCAGCAATAGGAAGAGCAGAATTAGCCTCTAAATTATTTAGTTGAGAAGAAACACAGGCTGCCAGATATACATATATATCATAGTGCTCTGGGGCATCTGTACTCTAGGTCAAACAAAATCAAGCTATAACAGAAAAAAGATTGCTTTGCTAGTTGGGATTAATAGCTAATCACAAGGTGAGCATTTAATAAGTTGTTGGAAGTAAATGTTATAAAATCACAGTTTAAGGGAAGAAGTTATGTTTCTGGAGACACAGTAGTAAGCTCCTTTCTTCCCTTTCTGATTAAACGAGATACTCTAGTGGGGTTTTATTTTTTCTGCTTCATAGCCAGTCTTCATTCTGACATGTGGAAAACAGCTTTTAACTACTAGTGAATAATCAATTTTCTGTCACAATTTTATTAACAGTAAGTAATTAATCAGTCTCACAATTTTATTTAGAATGTTGGTTCAAATATCTGGCTGTAATTTTTTTCAGCCCAAATGAAAATTTGTAAACCATGTTTCAAATTGGTCCTGTAACTGACGAACTGATTTTCTTGAGAGAGAAAGCTTAGAAAATTTTCTAATTAGTGCTAAGACCTGATTTTCTGTGGCTCACTGCTTCCTGTATTCCACTTCTTCAAATTATGCAGTAGGAAATTTCTTTAGAGGTTGGTGTTTTCTATTGATCTCTACAATTGTTCTCAGTAATTTAGAAGTTAACTGTGCAGTGAGTTTTCAAGAATGCGCTAGAGCCTTGAGTCAGCACACACTCCTCTCCACTGAGCCCAGGGGCAAAGATTCTTGTAGCCCCTCCTTGGCTCCAAGAGTTAAGAGTGGGAAGCCCGGACTTCAGCTGTCAGTTCATTTCCTTTGTGTAACTTTCCTGTTCTTTCAGCCTGCAGTTCACACCTTAAAAGCCTCTTCCCTTATAAGCTGAGAAGGGATTTGTGCAGCGTGAGCTTACCTGAGAAACTAAAGGATATCATTAATTAGAAAGGTGCTTCTGGGCAACAGGAAATTTTTCACTGGAAAGGTTTCAAATCTAAGAAAGTAATTAATTTCTCTGTGGAAAAGGATCACATTTTTCTCTTCTGATGTCCTTCTTTACCGCAATTGAATGGTTTAAGGCACGACACAGGGAATAGGACTCCTCTCTCATTAACCCTCACAGTTTGGCTCCCTCTTTTCTGTCTCTTTCCTCTTCCATTTCAGCAGCAGTGGTGCCTTCTAGGGATTTGGGGGGACATTTTATTTTCTCTTCCTGAGGAAGAGTTAAGGAATGTAACACAGTAAGTATTTTTCTTAATGTACATATACTGTCAGAAGGAGTTTTTAAAAATGAAATATTCCTGTTTACTAAAAGAAAAATGACAAACTAGGAAAAATAGTTACAGTAAATATGATAAAGTTTTGTTAAAAGGAACACGACAAGTTGCAAATTTAGCTGCAATAAATATGATAAAGTTTTGCCATCATAGATGTACTATGATGATCAAAATATGGGGAAAGGACATGGGCTTATATTTCAAAGAAGAAACAGAGGGATCTAAAATCCATTGTTATTAATAATCAAAGAAATTAATATTGAAACAAGATACGTTACAAAAGTTTATGTATTTAGGTATGTATGTGTCATCATCATCATTATCACTGTCATCTAGTATCAGTACGGACTCATGGATTCCTATTTTATTCAATAGATTATAATTCTTACTGTAATTATTTCCATCTCAAATTGGCCCAGATTGGGTCAGTGGGAGGCCCTTCAAGCTGGCTCTTGTGTTTTTTTTGACATGCTTCCATCATTTTTTTGAGTGCTTTCTTACTTTCTGGCATAAAAAAGATGTTTAAGGCTGATCTTAAATTCTTCCTGCCCCAGACCTGGAATCGGTATTTCTTCAAGGAGCTCGTGCAGAACTTGTGTATATTTGCGTATTAGAAACCATGAGCTCTTGCTGAGGCCTCTGCTTTTAATCCAAATTCACAAGGCTTTTTACTTGCCTTTCTTCATTCCGTATTTACCTGTCTCTTCTGCACTGAGAACTCTGGCTTCTGGCAACATCAACGCATTTTCTCATTTGCTTATCCCTTCAACGCACATAAAATAGTTTAAGAATTCATACACCTTTGCCACCACAAAAACAAACCTACTAAGATGAGGTCCAGATTTGTTTGCTGTTCTTTTACTCCATGACTGGTGTTCAAAAGTAACTTTGGTTAGTTCTGTAATTCTCCCACAGTATGCTTATATTGTTTAAAATACTTTTTGGATCACTTGTTTCTGTTTGCATTTAATTTTGTGGTTTTCCTCATCTGTGTTGATTAACTTTTATTTTTTTGGCTATATAGAACATTAACATGTTTCCAAAAGTATCTAAAAAGGTATAATCATGTATACTCAATCCCTCCTCTATTCCTTTCATTTTATTGCCCCAACCTCTTTGTAGGTAACTAATTTCATTCTTTTCTATATTATCTTTTCTATAGTTTTTCCAAAAACAAGCATATTCTTATACGTTTCCTGCTTTCCCTTCTTTCTTAGACAAAGGAAGTATACTGTATACACATTTTTGCACTGATATGAAAACCACTGCATATCAGTTCATAGATATTCTCCTTATTCCTTTTCACTGCTGCATGATATTTCAATGCATTTTTG